TTGTTAAGGTGTACCGCTGACCAGCAAAATACTGTATCGCGCCCCAAAAAACGTATTTCCGCGGTGTCAATGGCAGGACTTCTAGAAAGAGGAAGTTGTTTCCGGGTGGGTAGAATCCGCTGAACGATGTAAAACCTCACTACGTCGTAGTGGCACGCAAATGCAAGTTTATATGTGGCGTAACCATCACGGATTTGGCCATAATTTATTTGAAAGGCTTTTCAAAATAAAGAAGATGGCGCTTTCCTTTTTAGAATATCCTCTTTCATTTTAGGGATATTTACGTTTTTGTATTATGCAAATGGGGAAAGTGATGAAAAAAAAAAAAACACAAACACAAACACACACATACACTGCAACAATCAATCAAGAATATCTGTAGAAATATTTTAAAAGCAGTGTTCTTTAAACTTGGTACCGGAAATGTACATCACAAACGTAGCAAAATGACACCCGTCGTGCCGCTGCCATGACAGCAGTTATGCTGCTAGTCCTGTTTTAATTAAGACTTAAATCGCTAAATTTTATCTTTAAACAAGGATCATCCACTCCCAAACAATCTAATGAGGAGACTTAAGACAATATGGGAGCCATGTGTGTTCCAAACAGGACCGTCTGTCCCACTTTAAAGGGTTGCAAATGGAGATATTTGGTTTTTCACAGAAAGAGACCGGAGCCAACAGTGTTTCCTTGGCAACGACATAATAGGTGTCTTTCTGTTTCTTTTGTGATGTACATTTCTTGTGCCAAGTTTGAAGAACACCGCTCCAATATTTCTAGAGATATTCTTGATTCAGTGTTTTACCTACTTATGAAGTCATCACTTTCCTCATTTGCATAATACAAAAACGTAAATATCTCTAAAACGAAACAATATTTTCCAAAAAAGGAAAACGCCAATTTTCTTTTCTTTGAAAAGCCTTTCAAAAAAGCTGCAATTATTTTTGGCACAGTTTTAGGGTCACGGATACAATAGCGATATTAACTTCACAAATAACAAATGATGTATATCTTATTAACCAAGCGCGGGGTTATTAGCTGGTGACAGGTGACTGGTTGTGCTCGGTAGTCCCCTTGGCCACGCTTGCCAACCAGTCTGGCCCTGCCAGCTGGGATTTTTAAACTGCATTTATATTGCCCGAGACGTTGACTGAACGTCAGTGACGTCCGTACAAGGAAGCCCCAAGGGCCGATATTCGGCCCCAGAACGGTCCCAAGCACGTGAGGTACAAAACGCAGGCTACAATACGCGAGTCACAGGTTACAGAAATAAAAGCTTAACCCATTAACATTATTGAGAGCTAATCGTAAAAATGCTTCTTCAGGCTAACCCAGCTGAGCAGTGTATTGAGGCTACCTGGAGAACTATTCAGGTCAACCAGAGTGATCTGTGACTTGTGTTTTGTATCTGCCACTCTCAAGACTCCCAAGCAACCCTAGTTAGTTTAAGTTAGGAGAGATGTTTTGCACGAATGAAAATGTTTAGAAAAAAAAATCACCCGACTGCATGCTAGAGCGACACCACAATTCTGGTTAGGACTGGTTTATTTCTCTCCACCCCCC